ATCTATTTTGTCTAGATAGATAGATATTAAGATCTCAAAAAGCAACTCATAACCCATGCATCCATCCAAAAGGATTGTGTCACTAGGCATAATATGAAGAGTATTGTTAATAAGAAGCATGATGATATTCAAAAGTAGGTCATCATGAAAAGTCTGCATTTCACATATTGTTAGTTGAGAATACGATAATTCCTGTGTTGCTAAACCACCAAGTTTGAGGCAGTGTTCCTATGGGAATTTAACTATACGTAACCCCTTGGAATATGGGTAACAGTGCCTTATGTGAACTTTAATGGGTGAAAATGGGGCCTACTTTTTATATATGTTGTGTTTGTTATGCTATTATTAAAGCCATCTTCTTGACGAAGAACATTTTAAAAATCAGATTACATGCAGACATTTCAGTATAAAACTATACAGTAAACTTATGAGTAATACGAATACCTTCTGAAAGATGCAACATCGTTGTCCCATTTGAACCTTCAGTGTAAACATCTGTTTATGCAACTAGAAGTGGATCACATAGTGGTTTACTTCCCCATTAAGAGCAAAAAGCAGCTTTTGAAAGGGACCACGCAGCCATCTTGCATAGCTTTGCCGAATGGGTCAGCCTTTACAGCTTTTAGTGCTGATGCATACTAAGCTTTATAGTGCTGGTCCCAAAATAGACCTCAATAACTGGATTAAGCATGGTTTATATTCTTCCTTTCGCGGATATGCTGCCTCCCTGTTGGGAAGCCTTTTTTTCCTCCCAAAGGGTGAAAAAATAACAATGTACTGAGACCTGCTTTCAAATAACCTTTGAAATACAATAAACCAAGCATTTCCACAGTGCAAAGACAATTAGTGTACTAGAAAAGGGATAATGAAAAGTATATACACTCACCTAAAGGATTATTAGGAACACCTGTTCAATTTCTCATTAATGCAATTATCTAATCAACCAATCACATGGCAGTTGCTTCAATGCATTTAGGGGTGTGGTCCTGGTCAAGACAATCTCCTGAACTCCAAACTGAATGTCAGAATGGGAAAGAAAGGTGATTTAAGCAATTTTGAGCGTGGCATGGTTGTTGGTGCCAGACGGGCCGGTCTGAGTATTTCACAATCTGCTCAGTTACTGGGATTTTCACGCACAACCATTTCTAGGGTTTACAAAGAATGGTGTGCAAAGGGAAAAACATCCAGTATGCGGCAGTCCTGTGGGCGAAAATGCCTTGTTGATGCTAGAGGTCAGAGGAGAATGGGCCGACTATTCAAGCTGATAGAAGAGCAACTTTGACTGAAATAACCACTCGTTACAACCGAGGTATGCAGCAAAGTATTTGTGAAGCCACAACACGCACAACCTTGAGGCGGATGGGCTACAACAGCAGAAGACCCCACCGGGTACCACTCATCTCCACTACAAATAGGAAAAAGAGGCTACAATTTGCACGAGCTCACCAAAATTGGACAGTTGAAGACTGGAAAAATGTTGCCTGGTCTGATGAGTCTCGATTTCTGTTGAGACATTCAAATGGTAGAGTCAGAATTTGGCGTGAACAGAATGAGAACATGGATCCATCATGCCTTGTTACCACTGTGCAGGCTGGTGGTGGTGGTGTAATGGTGTGGGGGATGTTTTCTTGGCACACTTTAGGCCCCTTAGTGCCAATTGGGCATCGTTTAAATGCCATGGCCTACCTGAGCATTGTTTCTGACCATGTCCATCCCTTTATGACCACCATGTACCCATCCTCTGATGGCTACTTCCAGCAGGATAATGCACCATGTCACAAAGCTCGAATCGAATAAACATTATTATTTATTTTTATTACCTAAAAATATAAAGTAGAACCGTCATACTACCATACATTAATGGTAGATTAATGGGAAGATTGACATAGAGAGCCTAAATAAATTCCACTGAATAAACTGCATTAGTAACATAAATACTTTGTTATATTCCATATGATTACACAAATAAATAAATAAAAAATTAAATGCTTAAATTACATCATTAGGTTTACCCACAATGGTTTTTCTTTTTTCAAATAATTGAATGGACCTTTTAAATAAAAGTAAATAAGGATAAATATTTATCAGAAAATTTTATGAAAAGTATAAACACAGTTCAGACAATTAGTTGTTTTTATGGTGCTGCATTTGTGCTGAATATAAACTGTAGATTTCAGATGAAGATAACATTTCAGAATGAAGAACAAGTGTGATTATAGTTATGAGTTCATTTCACATAAAACATCTGTTATTTACTTTATGTGTCATAATAGTAGAGATACACAAGTTCAAAGACACTGGATGTAGGTTTAAGTGCTCTGAACTGTATGTGTACACAATGAACAGAAAGAAACTGTAAAACCTCGAAGCTGTTTTAATGCTAAACCATGTCTGTAGCAAGTCTATATATCAGAATACTTTATTAATCCGGAGGAAATATGGTTCTCTTGGTCAAGTGACCTACAAATATCACTTCTATCATAATAACAAAGTGGCTTAAAAATGTCAGTTGGTCAACAAATGATTGATATAAATTTTCTGTATTAACAGCTTATTTTACAAAGCAAATCCATGGAAAGGGTCCTGAAATCAATTTAGTTCACAGAAAGAAAAGTTTTAAGATGTATGGCTGCTGCCTCATTCTGTCCTCACAGAACAGGCAAACATCCAGAAGTAAAGGACACATAAGGGTCTATTTGGACGATCTAGCACAAACCGCAAGGCACAAACCATAACTAATATGGCAAGCCAAATTGTCTTTTATTAGCATATGGCTTACTCTGCAAAACTTAATTCTTACTAGTAAAAATAACATTCTTACTAATAAAAATGCAATTTTTACTAGTAATAATATGAGTTCAATATATCTACAATGCAGATTAGTACGAATGATCATGTAAAATTAAGTTGTAGAGATCTGAAATTCACATATCCAAAATGTTAATTTCTATGTCAATTTTTACTAGTAAAACTACAATTATGGATATATGGGGCTGGAATTCTTACTAGTCAAAACGTGATTACAGATATCTACAACAGGAATCCTTACTAGTAAGAATTGAATTATTGACCTCTACAAGCTCTACGAGTTCAGGATATTTGAGGCCAAAATACAATGTTAGACAATGGGAATATATGGCTAGTAAAAATGAATTATAATGCTTTACAATACAAATTCTTGCTAGTAAAACTACAATTCTTACCAGTAAAAATTATCATTCTTACTAGTAAGGATGTTATTTTTACTAGTGAGAATTATTTTAAGCAGAGTAACCCGTATGCTAATAAAGGACAATTTGGCTTGCCATAGAGGTCCTAACTCTCTTATTTATTCAGAGGCGTGTTTGGGGCTTAATTACATGCAATGAACCAATCGGAATGCCACGTCACCTCACCTCTAAAAGGCAGCGGTGCATGATCTACAACAGCTTGCTATTTTATCGGTGTGTTTACCCAGCAAATAATATAGTTTTTCCCCTGAGGAAATGGGCGTGGTCGTGCATGTGCTGAAAAGTCGTAAGTACGTGATTTTCAGTGTGTGAGGCACGCCTCCCCTGGGGTGGCGCCACGGCACTGCTGGGGGCACGAAACACAAGAAATATCAGGTGGGGAGTGTGCTAAAATGTGTGACAGAACCAAAGTGTAATTTACATGTTTAAATTAGCAATAGCAAACAGTGCCTTTGGGTTTTTTTTTCTTTCAGACAGTTGTACCCTATAATAAACCATATATAAATTAAATTAAAATAACAAAATACCATTAGTGCACTTCAAGGATGTATCTTTGTCAATAACAAGTGTCATACACCCACATATTTCTAAAAAGCATTGCTTTAATACCATTTAATAATTTTTCACTGAATTTAGACGTGGCTTTTGTTGATCAAAAGCGCAATGACATTGTGCTGCCTTAAAATAGCAACGCGTCGACAATGCACCTGGCAACGCCTCATTTAAAATACTCCTAAACCACTCCTACTAGCGGAAAGTGAGTGCAAAATCATGTACTATTTTGACAACGTATAGGCATGGCGTGAAAATGAGCAATGCATTGGTAGGAAACTAGCAAAACGACTTTGCATCGCATTTTGCACAGGTGAAATATAGAGTCCATAGTGTCAAAGGTAAATGGTCTAACAGCAGAAAGGTATGCAACAGGTAGGTGTACATAGATGAAGATGTTATATTCAGTCAGGGTTGGTGAAAGTTTCTCATTTAATCTTCGGAATATCAGAGTTTGTGCAGATCATTAATAGCTTATTAGCTCCGGTTATTGCAACAATATAGTTATGTTGCAATCCTAGGGACTTGAATTGTCTGCAGTGACCAGGTGATGCATGCTGACAGGCTATTGCCTACCACTGTTCTGATGAGTCTGCTACAAATGGGGCACACTGACAGAAGCATATCTTGTTCTATCAGGACTATAAATGACAACTAGAGCAAGTCTTGACAACTCAACCCTAAATGTTTCTTTGATTTGAACCTATGCTGTAGTCATATTTAATAATTTATTTCTATATAAAACAAGTTGGCTTGATGTACATTTCAGCATCTGCATTCATTTGACATTACAATAGGTTTACTGATTTGTTGTTGAAATTTGCACTCCATTTTCTATTTTCCATTGTCATTTAGGATCAGTAAGGATGAGTGTTTTTCTCATTAAATGCACTGTTAATTTGTCTTGTATTCTGTGCATCTGGTCTTAGCAATTGAAATCTCAGTAATTCAATGCTCAAATTGTTTTGCATAGTAGCAAAGGACATCTTGGGAATGGTAACTTATTCATTAAAATAATAATAGAACATGCAGTAATAAATAATAATTCTACAAGTTTTTATGTGGAAAAAATCTAGCAATAAATGTTTCCATGGGTGTCGCCACCATTAAATCTGAGGGGGACGTGTCCCCTTCACATTTCATAATTATTCGTTTGCCCCCCCCCCCTCCACATTTAACATAAAATATTAGTTCACCCAGTGCTGTGTCCCCCCCACATTCAAAATGCTTCTGACGCCCCTGAATGTTTCTGAAATGTCTTACTGAGATAAAAGTACATTACATTATCTTTTATAGCTACAGTATTCGCACATTAAGTATAAATATGTCGAAAATTGCCAATGCATGTCACAACAGCACCTGATTTATGAATTCATCATTTCATTGAATGCCACACATGCACAGACACACACACACACACACACACACACACACAGGTTTGTAATTATATCTTTGCGGGGACTCTCCATTCATTTCTTTGGGGAAAACACTAAAATGACCTTGACCCCTACACAGCAATAACCTTATCATAAGTAATCAAAAATACAAGACTTTTGGCATTTTTAATTTTCTCATTGCATTCACAGATCTTTGTAGGAACCTGAAAAATGGTCCCCACAATGTGAAAATAACAGGTTTTTATTATATTGTGGGGGCTATTTGGGGCCATTTTGACATATACAGGTGGACATGCCCAATTTCACAGACCAAAAGTGAACACAACTGTATGTCATTCAAAGGACATTTACATAATACACATGGAGGACTGAACCAGGTGATCAGAAAAAAATGGGAAAATTTTTTTTTTGTAAAATTTCAATGGAACCTTCTGAGTCTTTTGACAGAGTAAGTTTTCTTTTCACTACACCTCAGCTAGAAATAAGGCTATTTTCCATGTGTGGAAAAAGTATTGGCGTTTAGTAATTAGTTTGGTCATTAGTTACAAGGCTAACAGTTGTCTTCTTGGAGAGTTCTGAGAAACTTCCCATACTCATGGCCTTGCAAATATTTCAGAGCATAGCTCAGTCAGCTAATATAAGAGTTCATAAGAGATGCTGAACAGGTTTAGATACAGAAGAATCTATAAGAGAAATTTCAATAAAAAATTGAGCATTACTTACAATAGTTATCGTTGTTGTCATTATTACTATTATTATTATTAGTAGTAGTAGTAGTAGTAGTAGAGGCAGCAGCAGTACTGCTGTGGAAGACATACTTGTAGTATGCATAACAAGCAGTTAATTACTCAAACTTGGCCTACAGTAACCCATATTTTTAGAATCTGAATATGACAAATATTTAAAAAACAAATGAATACCTTATATTTATCTAATATACACAAATGATAAAATGGACTGTTATCAAGGACATGAATGACAAGAGCACTATGTTTTTGTTCCCTTTCTTGAATGCAAGCTGGCAGACAGTTGTTGCAGGAAAAAGGAAGGCCTGCAAGGCCATTGCATTTTGACTAACACTGATAAATTCCCAATACTTGCAGGGTTGTGGGGCAAATATAATACAGCTCCCTTGACATCCCTCAAAGCTCCTCCAGTAACAAAAGTAATGTTCCTTTAGAAAATATTATACATATTGATGACAACACAGTGCTGAATCTTTTAAAAAACACTGAACACTGAAATATAAGTATGGAAACTGTGCATGTTATATAAATGACCCAGACCCAAATGTGATATTGTCAAATATGAATAGCAAACAACATAAAATAGCAGTTTGTGCCCTGTAATATTTTGTTATTATGAGATTTTCTTTGAACTCTGCTGCATTTTCTTACTTACCTGTCCTTTATCAGACTTGTGGCGTGCACACTAAATAAGATCATTTAGAGATTATAGCCTGTTACTTACTACCTATAGCTTTGGTAATAAAACTTACTGATGTTCGGGCTTGTTGTCCTTTTAAATGGGTATTATGAATGGAATCGTGGTCGGGTCACACTGCATTGCATTGTACATCAATAAGCATTTGACACGCTCTAAATGATACTAATATATTAGTTTCCTTTAAACCATGTTTAGTATAGTATAACTGGTAATAACAGGTTTTTATTACATTGTGGGGGACATTTGGTGTGCATTATAAAGAAACAACATAATAATATCTGGTGGACAGACACAAAAACTCTGAGAGGGATATGTACTGTAAAAGAGAAAAAAATACTGATATTGTTCCAAAATCACAGACCAAAATTATTTTAGTGAATTAGTTGACAGCAGAGCTACTCCACAGGTATGGCAAAAGACGTTCGCCTCAGGTGCAATATTGTCATAGCCCATTAATCTTTTCAACATCCTCCAATCATACTAGTCTGCTCCATTCTAATCCTTATTTAATACAGTAAATTAATCTGGAGAAAACGAAGATTCCCACAAGAGGGGGAATTACAATGAAAAATCTACAACATACAGTCCCACAAAGTTCCTGTTGGGATAAGACATCCATCCAACACATCAGATAACCGACGGACAGAGTCACTATGTTCTGTGCCATTTCTGTCCTTTTGTTTAATAGTAACCTTTATTGACCCAATATCTTTCAAATGGGAATTCCCAGAAGTGTTTACTGCCCATTCCACATCTCAGGACTGAAATATCATTCACATCTCCTGTCCTTTGCTCTCTCTCTCTTTCTCGCTCTCTCCATACTCCCCAGAAACTGATCATTGCAGGCCCTTAATGATCAAAAGTTTTAAATATAGAAAGTTTGTACTGAAATAATATTCAATAATAAAAAAAAACAGCACTATTGTTAAAAAAGGCGCCAAAACATCATGTTTTCCAAAGAAATACAGAAACCTAAAATACATTTGCTCTGTCTTGTTAAGTCAATCTGTATGACAATATTCAGACAGGTTACCGAAGATTATAACGTAGGGAACAATCCCAGTTTGCTAATTCAGTCAAAAAATTATCATTCAGGCTTTCAGATGAGAAAACGTTCTCAGCATTTATTTCTGCATACCACACATATTTTGCCTCTAAAACCCCTTGGACACATTAATCTAACAAAAGAAATCCCATGACACTTGATACTTTTAACACACCCCCAAAAATCATGCTCACTGATTATAAATCCACTACACATTAGTTCACATTCCATGTGCCATGCTACAAGGTGAACTCCCCATCTCATTCTGCTTAAAAATTAGGTTAGACGCTCCATTTGTCTTTCGTGAACACCTTAAATTCAAACCTAGTTTCGGCAACTTACAACAACACAACAGCAAAACTCACAGCATCCTGCACTATAACAGTCAGATCTTATTAACAACAGTGGTGACAGCCAGATGAATCGGTTTTACTCTATCATTAAACCTCAGAATTCCAGTCAGTAACTGTTTCTTCCTCTTCTCCCATTACATAGCTGACATTGTGCAGAATGCCACGCTGAACCTGGAAAAGCAACAGTGCCATCTACAGGCTTCCTCTGTTCCTGCTCTGTCTGAATCCTATCAGACAGTACACATTGTATTTTGATTTGTAAGTGGCTTTGACACAGTTTTGGATTATGTTGAAATTTGAGCTTCAATAATTCCTGATTATTTTTAAGTTGAGTTTGCCTCAAGTATCGAGATGATCTGCTGGTAACATACTTAACCAGTTTAGTTGAGGTAGCAGAAATATGAACAAAACAAAGGCTGGCACAACACCGGCAAATGAAGTTAAATATCTGCATATGAAATTGTGAAAGAAAAAGAAAGAAAGAAAAAAAGAAATACCAAACAAATTGTGTATTGAAAACACATGCAAAAAAAATTGCTTTTGTCTGCTAAAGTATTTACAAAATTTGTAATGATTTCTAAGTTATCCAGTTTTAAATGAGTGAATTAGAATTGTGTTAATTGTTTAGGAAACACAATATTAATAATTATGATATAATAAAAAATGCATTTTATATGAATTATGAAAACAAAGCTTTTCTAGAAGTCTCTCGTTGCCTACAAAAGCAGATAGAGTTCATGTGCATAGAGATGTGTAAATAAACCGGGAGCAAAGAAGACTTAAAAACACATTTATGAATGAAAATAAAAGAAAAAACAATGTTCGGAAAATCAGATGACAAACTGTGCATGGCTTCAATCAAAAATCAGTAGACGCATCAAATAATTTTGCTATCACTGCTTATATAGAAAAAGAAATAAAGGGAAGTTAAAAAAGAAGGAAAGTCCTTCTTGTAGGACCATAAAACAGGAAAAGATATACTGGCCCATCAGTACTGGTATATTGAGCAATTATAAGCAGTACTTATAGAGCAGTAAAAGTGCCCCTTTACCTGTCTGGTGTGCAAGGACCCCTTTGTCTTGAAGCCACCCTGGGAGCTGCATTCAGAGGCACTGAAGTGGTCTGAGCTAGTGGACGATTGTTTGGAGAGCGTATCACAGCCCCCAACAAATGTGTTATCCAGGGGAAGCTCCTGAATAATGTGGTGTTTTTTCCCTGACACCGGGGTGTCGGCCTTGAGGTGGAAAGCAGACTGGGGTGAGGCCGATTTATAGTGCCTTGCTAGGTCAGGGCTGATGGGCTTAAAAGTGGTTGTAGGTACCACATTCCAGTCAAACCGACCTATGCCCTGCTCCTCCAGCTCTGTCGGGAGACTTATCGTGCCATTTATGGGCTTGTGAGTGGGATCGTTGGGTTTGGTTTCTTCAATGGTGACAAAGTTCAACAGGGAATTTTTGGGGGACTTCCTTTTCTTTCGCTTCTTTTTCTTGTTCTGCTTGTTCTCTTGAATGGGTGACATCCATTCAACTCCTTGCTTCTTCCTTTGGGCTGCTTTGAACTTGGACGTGTGACGACAACGCACCAGCACAGTGACAAATATGACCACTATCACCACCATGGCCCCAGCCAGGACAGCAATCATAATTGTCAGGTTGTCGCCTCCCTGATACGTCTTGCTGCTGTCAGCAATGTTTCTGTCCAAGGGGGTCTCCATGGTTCGGCGAATGAGGTCTTGAATGTATGTGGCATTGCACACTGTGTCATTCACGTACAGGAAAACCAAAACCAAGGTGTGTAGGGACCTGGGATAACCCAGATCACTGATGTTGACCACTAGTCGGTGCAGGCCAACAGCAGTGTTGTCTGGCTTCTCTTCAAGGGTGATGTTTCCTGTCACAGGGTCAATCCGGAACAAGCCCTTGTTATTGCCACTCACAATGGTGTATTTCAGCTCAGCGTTCATACCTGTGTCACTGTCCACTGCAAAGACCTCTGCAACTACAGACCCAGGAATCGCTGAGAAAGGCACCAACTTGAAAGATGTATTTGAGGGCGGATAAATGACCACTGGTGTGTTATCATTGACATCAATGACATTTATGGTCACCTTGGCAGACGATGAGCAGGGGGGTCGCCCATTGTCAACTGCCTTGACATCGAAGGTATATGAGCTCTGCTGCTCCCTGTCAAAGGACACATTAGACTTTATAACTCCAGAGTAGGGATCTAAGATGAAGTTCTCATTGTCATTTAATATGGAGAGAGTCACAGCTGCATTTTCTCCAGCATCAGTATCAGTGACAGTGATCACCCCTACCGTGCTGTACTTTGGTAAATTTTCTGATACAAAAAACTGAAAGTGGTTGTGGGTGAATTTGGGACTGTTGTCATTCTCATCTTGTACAGTGATTATTACGGCAGCTTGGCTTTGAAGCGGAGGCGTCCCGTTGTCTCTGGCTGTCACTGTAAACAGGAACCTCTCCTGGTCCTCCCGATCGAAAACTCTTGACGCTGTTAAAACCCCTGTTTTGCGATCCAAGTCAAAAAAAGAAGCATTCGGTCCCAACTGGTAAACAATCTCGGCATTCTTACCACTGTCTTCATCTGTGGCACTGATGGTCATGAGGAACAAGCCACGTTTGTTGTTCTCCATGACTGACAGCTCAATAACCGGCTGACTAAATATGGGCGGGTTGTCATTTTCATCCTCTAGCCTGACTCTCACTAAGGCTGTCTGATTTAAACTTGGTTTACCAGAGTCAGAGGCAACAATTTTAAATATGTATTCTTTTATGCCTTCATAATCTAGCAGTGAGGATGTCTCCAGGAGATACTGGTTGTCATACACAGCTTTAAGGTGAAAGGGGACATCCTTCTCTAAAAAGCAAATAATTTTACCATTGACATCTGTGTCTTTATCTGACACTGTGATTAGTGCAATCTTGGTGTTGACGGGATCTTTTTCAGATAAGTACACTGTACCATTAATGGGACTGATTATGTACCTCAAATCTATGTTTGGAGGATTGTCATTCACATCTGTCACATTAATGGTGACCGTAGCCCTAGCTGAACTCTGGCTGCCATCACTGGCTAGCATTGATAGCTTGTGGATGGCCGTCTCCTCTCTGTCCAGAGGCTGCTGCACTGTGATGAGGCCAGTGGTGGAATTTAATGCAAACAGCCTCTTAGTAGCTGGGGAGACCTGTGTACTGAAGAGGTATTTGATTTCAGCGTTGGACCCAATATCAGCATCTGTGGCTTGCAACTGGACCACAGAAGTGCCCACTGGGGAATTCTCTGGTATATGAACTTCCATTTGGCTTTCTTTAAAAACAGGCCTATTGTCATTCACATCAGTGACTGTTACCTGGAGGATAGCTGTGCTGGACTTCTGGGGGCTGCCCCCGTCCTCAACCTTAATCTTCATCACATAGGTGTCCTTCTGCTCCCTGTCCAAGTTTTGCTGCACGATCAGCTGGGGCCACTTTTCCCCATCTGGTGTCTCAACAATATCCAGGGCAAAAGAATTCTGTCCATTCAAAAGCTCATAGTGCTGCACACTGTTAAAGCCGGTGTCCGGATCAGTGGCTGTGGGAATAGCGAAGCTATTAATCAGAGAGTTCTCTGGGATGGAAATGTTTATAACAGGGGATGGGAACATGGGGGCATTGTCATTTGTGTCCTTGACTATAATTTTAATTTTAATCAATCTGAAATAGTCATTTGGCAGGATGACCACCTCAATCTCAAAGGAACATTCATTCTCCTCATAGGAAGGGCCAGGGCAGAGTCTCTCTCTGTCAATACGGTTGGAAGTTGTAAAGATCTCCCCGGTGTTGCTTAAAACTCTGAGTAAAGGGTTGTCTCCGGCTTTAGAGACCAACCTATAAACCAGATTCGCACTTGCTCCAGTGGCAGCATTTGTGTGGGAAAGATTCAGATCCTTTGGTATGTTTCCAATAAGAGTATTCTCTTGCAATTCTTCTCTTATTGGGTAGATCAGCTCTTGAGCTATAGCTGGATCCAGCCAAAAGCAGACAACCAAAGCGGCCAACAGGTAAAAAACCTTAAGGTCCATGGCAACTGCTTAATTGTTCTTCACTTCTTATTTCCAACAGTGGTCCCCCACACAAGGAAGCTAGGCTCCAGCAATCACTGAACCTTGCATGTGTAAGCAAGCATTGGACAAGACAAACCTAAAAGGAAACATTTTTTTTTTTACATTACAATAATGAATAAAAAACCACATACCACTGGATCTGAAAAACAAACCTATGCTGAAATTAAACATAGGTTATTCATATATATAAAAAGTATGTGTTCTAATATATTCCTAGCATTTAAATTGCATATACATTCACATGATGCCGTTCAGCAATGTTTCTCCCTTCTGTTTCATTTCTTGACCATTACTCATTTTACTTAAAATAGCTTACAATAACGCAGCAACCGGGGCAGCCATGCAAATACTTCTTTTAAGACATTGTATATAATTTGCAAATTCAGTCTTCAGCATTTCTGGTGTACTTGCATTTTAAACTTCTGAATGGTTTATAAAATAATACAATTATTATTATTGATTCAATACTTAATTCTGTCTCATAAACTCACAAATGTTTTAAACAGATCGCCAGAACAATCGGGTTTATATTTATCTTTGAACATAACGTGCTATTTCCTTACCCCGATTTCCTCTGAAGGTGATTTTAGCGCGTGTGTTTCAAATGATCCCTCTCTTGATGAATATTACAGTCGCACACATTCGATATAATCCCCATCCTCTATGATAACAAAACAGTTGAATTACTCCAAGTATAGTAAGATCCTTGATGGTGAACATTTAATTTTGTCACTCCATCCGCATAAAGATATGCATTATGTTGCTTCAGAAAAAAATATTTTTTTAATAAAATGCAATATTGCTTTCGGTGGAAAGAAACCTTATTTCATTTAAATGCTTCTTTTTGGCCTTAACTTCACATGTTTTTCCTCTTTCCAAGGAACAGAATCAGGTGATCAGTACCCGTTATGCTACCCTGGACAAGTGTGTCCATGAAATCACTCTGCGAAGAGCCGTGTTCTACAATGCAACCTGTTTTACCTCTATGCTCAACACAAGAAAGCTGCCGTCCGACTTTCTCCGCTGTCAATTCACTCCAGTCCAAGACCTTTTACCCCTGCAATGATGCCCGTAGCCCGGCTAGCATCTTCCTCATAATTTCCTCATCACAAAGCAGCTTGCGCGTGACTCCCTTTTCAGTAATAGAATGCTGTCATATCCATATAGTTTGGTCACTGTAACTGCATAACTCAAGTTGTCCTCCTCTCCTTCTCGACCTTTCATTACGCTGGGATTTCGGTAAACTCGAAACAAGCCCAGAGGGGTACGTGAAGTATAACGTTTGACGCCCCCGAGAGTAGTTATTGGATTCCTGCTATTTGAACGTCACGTTTGGGGGCGGGAGAAGGCGGCTATTGGATGGACATAAAGTCACTTATTAAAGAGGCGACTCTGAAGGGCTCCATGAGACGCTGCAGGCTGCAGATAGCAAAGTACCTTGTCTAAAAGCCAGCAGTCGGGGAAGGGATGCATTGCCAAAAGCAAAACAGTCTTCTCTTCTCCACTATTTTAATTTAACTACATCCCCATCTATGTTCTTAATGCGTGTTTTGTCTTGTCACTTCAAGGTTTAATGTGGAAAACCATTGCAAGTAAAACCTAGTTGGATATTCAGATAATCAGCGGGGTATAACACTTTATAAACGAAAATATAAAGGGAAAACATTAAAATTGAAATAGTCATTACATAACTGGCGCGACGGAATGTGCCTTCAGTTTCAAAACTCACAGCATGATTAACACTACTTATTTTAAATGTCTTTACGTGTGTGTGTGTGTGTTAGACTTCAAAGACACACACACACACACACACATTCCCTGTCGTCGGACTCCACGCGCATACACGCTCTAATATTCCAACAAAGGCAACAAACGTATTATCAAATATTATTATTATTATTATTATTATTATTATTATTATTCACACAAAAACCGAATGCAAACATGACAACAATAAGCAACTGAGCCAATTCTTAAAAATTAATTAACTGCATGGAGCAGTAAATAATTTAAATATATATTGCAAAATATAACAAAGATCGATCGAGTCGAATAGTAACAACAGACATGTGGCGTTTCTTGGTGTGAACCTTAGGAATCAAGATATCAAGATATTATTGTATTATTGTGTGAAGAGTACCACCTAGAGGCTAAAAAAAGAAAAGAAAAATTCCTGGTAACGTGAAATGAACAAAATATCAATCAGTAATTTAGGAATGCAATACACCCATATATATATATATATATAGGCCTATATATATATATATATATATAT